AATAAGGGCGTCTGCCGTCGAATGTTGAATGGCGAGAGTTGAATAGTGAATGTATGGTTCCTTGTATCTCATTTGCCCTAGCCGAGGAATTTGTTTATTTTACTTAGCCCTTGCGTCTCGGGTTAAGTGTTCACATTATCGGTCTTCACTCGATTTCTAACACAGTGTATTACAAATAAGATAGACCAACTAGAATTGTATTTATCAGATAATAAGTAATGTTGATATTGTTTGTATTACTGAGCACTGGTTAAATGCATATGAAACTGATTCTGTAAAATTAAATTATGTTTTTGTTGAACCAATAACATATTTAGTGAATTTATCGATAAATGAGAGAAAATTTCCAAATATTTTGAAAATTGCCAAAGTAATTCCTTTATATAAAAATGGAGAGGTGAATAAAATTGATAACTATCGACCGATCTCTTTGTTATCGACATTATCTAAAATTTTAGAGAGAGCGATCTTAGGTTTTTTTCAAAACATGATATAATATTATCAAGTCAGTTTGGTTTTCAAAAAGGTAAATCGACTAAATCTGCAATAATTAACTTTTTGACATGTTTGCATAAAAATTTGAATGCGAAAAATAAATGTGTTGGTCTTTTTCTAGATTTGAGTAAAGCATTTGATCTTGTAAATCATGACTTATTGCTCGACAAACTCTTTTTATACGGCTTGAGGGGCAAGGTTTATGAGTGGTTATCTTCATATCTTTCAGATAGAAGTCAAATTGTAGAAATAAATAAGTGTAAGTCTGATAAATTAAATTTAGAATACGGGGTACCTCAAGGTTCAGTCCTTGGACCTTTGTTGTTTATTATTTTCATAAATGATATATCTAATGTTGTCAATCCAGAAAATTTGACACTATTTGCCGATGATACATCCTTTATCTGTGCAGACTATACTGAAAATGATGTTATTATGCAAAGTCAAAGTATCTTGAATAACTTTACGAATTGGTTTAATAGTAATAAGTTATTTGTGAATGTCTCTAAAACAGAATTTATTATATTTAAGACAAAATCATTGGAACGAACTGAGAGTCGATTATTAAAAGTGAATGGTACCTCTATACGACAAACTGATACAATAAAATTTTTAGGTGTATACATAAATCAATTTTTGGATTGGAGTGATCATATTAATAACTTATGTTCAAAATTATCTTCTGTCT